TGGTGTGTGTGGTGTGTGTGTGTGTGTGTGTGTGTGTGTGTGTGTGTGCATGGTGTGTGTGTGTGTATGAACAGGAGTAGAAGGAAGTGTTTGGTTTTGTGCATTATCAGTCTGAGATGTGAGATGTAAGGTAGGGATTTGAATATGAGTCAGAATTTGAGGTGAGAGGAAGCCAGGTTTGGAGAAATACTTTTGAGAATCACCAGTCATCGCCTTGGAAGGTTTCTTTCTGCTCAGTTAAGATTTCAGAATCAGGCTGGGCTTGGTGGAACACCCCTTGCTGTCCCAGACCTTAAGGGATCCGGAGTTCAGAGTCATCCTCAGCTACAGAATGTCTTCAAGGCTAGCCTGGGGGCTATATGAAACCCTGTCTCAACACACCCTTCACCCTAAGAAAGTGATTTCAGAAACGATGTAACCAGAAAGTACTATAGAATATGTCATGTTTTGTCCTTTGAACAGATATATTGGAAAGATTTCTTTTGTCTACTCATGAATGCCTACCTTATAAGTCATTTATTTAAAAAAAGTAGTCTTTTGCAAAGTGCTTTATTTAACAATCTATTGTTTAAAATGAGATTTTTTTTCCCATTGCAAAAAAAAAAAAAAAAACTAACATATTTCAAGTAAAAGATTCTCTGATTTACCCACTTTACAGTCAGCTTTTATCATCAGCCTCTCTCCTTGGCTATAGCATAGCTAATGTTTGTTTAGAAAATGACCTTGCATAGGAAGAGGCCCAGGCTGAGCTCTACATCCTCTCTTGTGGCTGCATTTGCTACCAGACACAATAGATCCCCCGGGCAGCAACTGGGGTGGCCACTTGGGTTGGACCTCACCATCACTGAACTTCCCAGCGCCTCCATACCATTAGGGACAGATAAGTATTCCACAGAGCTGTGGTTTGGCTCAGGAGCCCCACTGTGGAGCACATGGCACGTCCCTGAGAGACACTCCTGTCCGTGGTGGTTGACTCCCACCGTTATGGTGGTTGTCCTGGTTTAAATGCCTGGCCTATGTTGAACGGGGGTGGCGGGGGGGTGGTTAGTGGAGGAAGATAAAGAAACTTTAAATGACAGTTGGTTATTTTGTTTGTACATACATAAATTCATGCTGTAAAAGCCAAGTCTAATGTGATTCCTCATTTTCCCTTAGGGAGTTTCCCCAAACTGGCTTTTTCATGCAGTTAGAACATGTGAATTTTGTAAGAGGTAATTGGCTGTCCATTTGTATTATCTAATGTAGTGATTTGGTTGTGCATATTTAACATTGATATTAGCAGGGAAAATTGCTTTCCCTTCTTGTTTTTCTTCTTGACTGTCTTTGACACCCACATCTCTCTTACTCCTAGAGCCATGTTTTAGACATCATGTAGATTTCCAGAGTACCTCACTGTCGGTGACATGGCTTGTGTCACTGAGGAAACAGTCTTAGCTGAGGGATTATCTGAGTCAGACTGGCCTGTGGATGTGTCTGAGGGGAATTCTTTTGAACGTCCACTGATGTAGGCAGGCCCAGCCCACCGTGGGCGTCACCGCTCCCTGGGCAGTGGTTCTGGGCTGTATAAGGAAGCTATCGAGGCATGAGCCTGTGAGCAAGTCAGCAAGCAGATTCTTCGGTGGTTTCTGTTTCAAGTGCTTGCTTAAGTTCCTGCTTCCTGCCTGCCCCAACTTCCCTCAGTGATGGACTGTGACCTAGGTGTGTAAGCCAAAACAAAGCAAAAACACCCCCCCCCCCAAATCCAACCAACAAACAAAAATGCAACCCCCAAACCTTTCCTCCCTCAGGTCACTTTTGGTCACGGTATGTGTATGTGTCGCAGCAACAGAATGAACTGAGCACTCACCTTTGCTTGCATCCCAGCCGGAGAACAGCCTCTGCCAACTGAGGTCCTGTCCCGTCACTGGCTCTTTTGTTTTGTCAGAAACTCTAGTACTCATCAACATTTCTTTAGTTTTATACTTGTGATTCAACATAATAGCTCTCCTGCTGTCTTGCCTTCTCAAGTGATTGGTGTGTTCAGAAGGATAGGTGTGCGTGTGTGTGGAGTGTGAGCATGTGTGGAAGACAGCATTTAGTATCAGGTGCCTTCTAATGTTGCTCTCTGTCTTGCTCTATTTGAGACAGGATTGCTCACTGAACCCAGAGCTCACTGATTGGCCAGGCTGGCTGGCCTGTGAGCCAGATGGATCTGCTTGTCTCACTCTGGAGTTACTCCTGGAGTGGTGGACACTGCCATGTCTGACTATTTTATGCAATGTTTGGAATCTGAACTCAGTTCCTCAGGTTTTCATAGCAAGTACTTTGCACACTGAACCATCTCCTCAAATCAAATCTCCTCAAATAAGGCATTTTCTTAGTTTCTAATCATACTTTTTATCAATCTGCCATTGATAGAAACGAATACCCAACTGGTGTGTAACAAGCTGTGTGAGAAAGCGTTAATAGGCAACAATAAACCTGTTGAGCTCTGGGCAAGGCGATGCAGGAAAAACTGCTTCAAAGGAGGAGAAAAAAGCTGGCTGCGGTGGCGCAAGCCTTTAACCCCAGCACTCGGCGCATCTCTGTGAGGCCAGCCTGTCCCACAGAGTGAGGTCCCGGACAGGTACCAAAAACTACACAGAGAAACCCTGTCTTGGAAAAATGATGTTAAAAGAAAGAAAATCTCCTACAGACCTCCCCACAAACAAACAAACAAGCAAACAAAACCAATCTCACAACACTGGGTAGGTAGCCCAGCATCCTAGAAGGTGAGAGGTAGGAGTTCCAGGGCAGAATCAAAAGTGTGCCAGGTGAAACAAAGTAAACTCCTGTAATCCCAGCATTCCCCAGGTACCAGCACAGGGATTAAGAATTTGAGGCCATTCTCAGCAATGCTGAATTGAAGATCATCAGCCTGCTCTGACTGAGACCTCTCAGAAAAGAGAAGCAAAGAAAAGCGCAACCATCCACCTACGATGAGGAAGTCAGGCGTGGCCCCGCAGGGTCACAGGATGCCCTCCCTGTAGTCTGTCTGCTTCGCCATCTCGGCTTTATTACCAGAAGTCCAGTCAGTCTCTGCAAGGCTTCCAGAGCTTCGGGGAGTCTGGCTTAGGCAGCAGACGGTGCAGCCTTGCCTGGTCCTGCAGGGCTGCAGTAAAGTAGCTGTGTTCTCTGACTTGCAAGGACCACATTGTTGGCGAGGTGACTGGCTTTCCGGCCTTGCCTCTGGCGGTGGGGGTGGAGGGTCAGGAGCCCTTGTGCCCTGAGTTTCCGCCCTTGGTCACAGGTGTGAGTGAGCTGCTCAGCTTGCTCCTCCTTCCTTCAGGCAGGACCTTGCAAGCTCTGCCTGTTAGCTCCAGGACTGCAGCTGGCCTCGCAGTCACCAGAACCAGGAAGTTCCCATTTTGACTGCCGCTGGGTCCAGGAGTTTCCCCTCTGGGGATCGTTAAGACATTTTTATAAAAATACCCAGGACTCATAATTTGTTAGGTCATATCCCGGAAACTGGCTCATGTGCCCGGCTTACTCTTAAGAAATGAAAACTGGCCGGGCGGTGGTGGCGCACGCCTTTAATCCCAGCACTCGGGAGGCAGAGCCAGGCGGATCTCTGTGAGTTCGAGGCCAGCCTGGGCTACCAAG